ACTATCATGTTTAGTCTGTAGTCTACTTTCATCCCACATCTCCCTTCTTGAGCGGGTCCTCCTAGCACTTTTTACATGGTGGTCCCTTCTCTATCTGAGCTGCCTTTTTCCCCAGCATAAAACATGCTTTCTTGGCAGTTCCCCCACTTTTAGCTCACACTGTTTATTGTATACTTTGGTATCTTCAGAAGTTTTTTTTTTTTTTAAATATTTGGGTTTAATTCCTACCAATGCCAGATGTTGTCTCTTTTCCTTTTTATGAGATTCCTTGGTCTGATTTGCTACATGCTTATGTTCTATCTCTCTTGCTCAGATATTTCATTTCAAAGTAAAGGTTCAGAAAAGGTGAGCATATGATTAGAAAAAGTGAGGCAGGGACATCAGTGAATTTACATTACTGATATCCAGAAGAGAAATATAGATTGTTTTAAAACAATAATCAGCAAGGTTACTATCTGCAGGAGAAAATACTATCTCATAAAGTGAAATATGCAGCAATTAGTTTTTTAATTTTTGTTAGTGAAACACCATGAGGTACAGTTGTAGACGTACAGATTTTTGTGCTTGGATTTCAGTTATACAATGACCAAATACCCATCCCTCCACCAGTGCCCTTTTTCCACCACCACGAGTCCCAGTATCCCTCCCACCCCACAGTCCCCCCATCCCACCCTGCTTCTGTGGCAGGACATTCCCTTTTGTTCTCTCTCTCCTTTTGGGTGTTATGGTTTGCAAAAGAGGCATTTAGTGGCAATCATGGTTGGTCTATAGTCTACTTTTAGCATACTTCCCCCATCCTGGGAGGATCCTCGCAACACCCTTTATTTGGTGCTCCCTTCTCTATCCTCTATCTGAGCTGCCTTTTCCCCTGGCATGTGTGGCTGGCCTCCAAGCCTTGGAGCAAATCTCCTGGTACTTATCTCGGCTATTCTAGGGTGTTAGTCTCCTATTTTGTTACTTTGTGTTCCCCAGATGAATGTGATCTTTCTATGTCTATCCCTCTCTTTGAGTCATTTTGCTTAAAATGATACTTTCCATGTAGTACCACTTGTATGTAAATTTAATGACTTCATCTTTTCTAACAGCTACATAGACCTCCATTGTGTAGATGTACCAAAGTTTCTTTAACCAGTCATCTGTTCTTGGGCACTCAGGTTTTTTTTCCAGAATCTGGCTATTGTAAAGAATGCTGCAATGAACAAACAAGTGCAGATGTCACTTCGACTATACTTTTTTGCTTCTCTGGAATATATTTCCAGGAGTGGCATTGCTGGGTCAAATGGGAGCTCAATTTCTAATTTTTTGAGAATTATTCATACTGTTTCCCAAAAGGGCTGAATAAATCGGCATTCCCATGAGCAGTGAAGGAGGGTCACTTTCTCGCCACATCCGCGCCAACACAAGTTGCTTTTGTTCTTTTGGATGTGGGCCAGTCTCTGTGGTATGAAATGATATCTCATTGTTGTTTTGATCTGCATCGCCCTGATGATTAATAATGTAGAGCATTTTCTCATGTGCCTTTTAGCCATTAAGATTTCTTTGAGAAAGTTTCTGTTCATTTTGTCGCCCCATTTTTTGATGGGGTTGGATGTTTTCTTGTGGAGTTAAACCAGTACCTTGTATATCCTTGATATCAACCCCTTGCTGGATGTGTATTCGGCAAATATCCTTTACCATTCTGTAGACTGTCTTTGTATTTTGGTCACTGTTTCTTTGGAGGTGCAGAAGCTTCTTAGTTTAAGATAGTCCCATTTGTCTATCTCTGTTTTCACTTGCTTGTCCTGTGGTGTGATATCTTTGAAGATACCTTTAGCTTCAATATCATGCAGGGTTTTGACAACTTTGTCTTCAGTGTACCTTACAGATTCTGGTCTGATGTTGAGGTCTTTAATCCATTTTGATCTTACTTTTGTACATGGCGTTAGGCAGCAGCAAATTTTTTTGATGAAAGTTCAGATCAAAAGATAAGGACATTTTAATTGTGGTATGTTAAGTCACTTAATATCTACAATATTCTTGTATTGTCTATAAAATGCCTGGTCAGACCAGATGGCTAAGGTTCCCTTCTAGATATAATTGGTACTTACCACAATGGACTTCTTGTGGGGACTTGACCTTGTGTTGTAACATTAGTTTACATACTGTTTAGATTCTCAGTTGCTCCATTGTATGGTGGAAGCAAGGCTCTCCCAAGAGTGAGAAAAGGTAAAAACAAAACAAAAGCCACTTAGCTTGGTCTTCTTCCAGCTTCTTTGCTTGGAATACCTAAACTGAGTTATTTATAAGAATTAGGTGTGGCTTAGTTTACTTGTCTCTAAGTTAATGCCAGTAATTTCTTTTTACAATATTATAAATAGAACAGTCATATGGCAGTCAGCATTTTCTTTTCAAGAATGGTTATGGTCCTGAAAGTCATGCATCACCAAAATCTGTCATTTGTTAGCCTCCGAGGAAAGTATAAACAGGTAGGTTTTGAAATTGTTTCCTTATTTTGGCTTTAATAGGAAGTAAGACCCAAATTAATTGTATCTGGCTTTCTTATTGGTAAACCATACAATGGGAAATTGTGTTATAGCCTTAAAAATAATGATGGGGTAAATATGATAGAATATCATACTAGGATATTAAATAATGAGGTAAATATAATAATAGCTTACTTTTATGAGATAAGTTTAAAATACTTTCTCCTTTAAGTCCCTCTGGGAATTGTCGAGAGAGAGAGGTGGGGGGGGTATATTCCAAGACAAAGGAGAGAAAAATTTCACAAAAGCAGGTACACACTCTGGGTATCAACTATGTCAATAGGATAAGAATGAAAGTGAAGGTAATGACATTTTTTTAAAAAAATTATGTCTGTTCCAGGCACAGGTGATCTTTGATCTTTCTGAGTTTTATCTATCATGGAAAACATTGTCTCAGACTGTATGGATTTCCATTTTTTTTCCCCTGATCAAGGCAAGACTGATTGACAAGCATAGGTTTCCCATCATAGACCAATGTGCTGATTTCAGGCAGGAATGAGAAGAGCTTTGACCCCAACTCCTTAGAGAGCACAACCCCAGGAGAGGCCAAGTTTACTTTACATGAATAGGAATTGCTTACTGGGATTTCCATTGCCTTCTTCCTTCGCGTTCCAGAGAGTTTGGACATCACCTTGATGTGAAAAAAACTACTCAGGTCAGGCCTCTCACTGACCTCATTTATACTGTTTGCTCTCTCTGTTTACTCACGTTGGCAGAAAATCATTTGTGATCTCCTACTGTTATCTTTCTATGTGTGAGTGCCTAACATACTGAAAGAAGCAATAGGCTCCTTGGGATCAGAAGTTCTGTTGTTAAATCTCTTTATCCCTTGAATGTTGAGTTCTTGAATCAAAATATAGACTTTCTCTTTTTACTTTGTGCTTCCTGCATATGGTACTGGACTAAGTAGGCACTTTATGATCTCTTTCTTGTGGAATGTTTTCTAAGGCCTTTCTCTGCAAAATTATGTCTCACTAATAATCAATTTAGTCACACATCAGTCATTTGATAAGTGTAAGAAGATTGGAAATTGACCAATCTTTATATCTCTGACATTATCACCTTGCTATAGGAGCATATAGATGGAGGCAGATGAGGTCATAGTTCCTCAGAATATGCCAGGAAGAACAGGAGAAAGAAGTAACTGAAAGTTGTCTTGGTGGTGGTAGAGACTTTTGTTACTGACAATTTATATTCATTACAAGGCACATAAAATTGTAACAATCCCAGATTCATGTAGTTGTTTCCTGGAAGACCCTTCTGAACATTCTAGTTCAATTTTCCTCTAATACAGCTGAGGGCATTGAGGCCAAGGAGCTTAGAGGGTGAGCAATCTTAAAATTGTTGGAGGAAGTAACATTTTATTCTATTTTTTAATCAATTCAGTGTTTGTGTGAAGTATTTCAAGTCAGGTAATGGCATGTGTGGCTGACAGACAGTTGACTATCTTTGAAAGATTTATTTTCTGGGAAGTTAATATTCACTGGGGAATACCATTATTTAGATGTTTCCATTTCCATGAGGTATGTGTCTACATCTGAACCACTGAATTTGAGTTAAAACATTGCAGCAACACTCCCAGGAATATACCCCTAAACATCTCTAACACCAATCTTTTGGGGTTTTTTGCTTCTACTTTTCTCTATCCTAATTCAGGGTTGGAATGGTTAACAAACTAAGTCAAGATAATTCAGAAATAAGGACTTCAGCTAAGATTGACAGCTAAGATCAAAATATCCTATATTATAACTAGAGGCCAGAACAATAGTATAGCAGGTAGGGTTTTGATTTCCACATGGCTGCTGTGGTACAATCCCTGGCATCCTATATGGTGCCCTGAATATTACCAGGAGTAATTCGTGTGGGCAGAGCCAGGAGTAACCCCCAGGGCACTGCCAGATGTGGCCCCCAAACCCCAAACAAACAAATGAACAAAAAAAGATATTATGACTTTGAGTATAGCTATACATAGCTCTGAGAAATTGATTTTCTCAGATGAGCAAAAATTCCATTTGAATATATTCATTCATCAAATCAGAACAACGACCGTCTCCCCTCTCTCTCTGATCACCTTATGTTAGGACTAGAACAAAAAGTCATTAAAATCATACCTTTTGACTTACCGCATTCACCACTCCCACTCTTGCGGTGTATCTCAACAACACGTGTGAAACCTCAGCTGGAGGTCGTGACGGATTCTGGGGTGGGGGTGGGGGTGGGGGGTAGGGGGTGGGCAGCAACATGGCGCAGGTCAGCCAAGTGCGGGCCGTGTCCAGGGCTCCCTACTGGTCCCATCCGGGAGAGCCAGGCCCGACGACTCGGCCGGCCTCGGTGTCCAGTCCGTTGCTGCGGGCCCCGATTGTGGCGTGTTCCTGCTTGGGCTCCATCCCGAGGGGTCACCGTGGTGCGCTGGGAAGAATGCTGCCTCCTCCCTTGTTTGTGTCGTAGGGTGGACGTCGCTCGCCGGACCTGCCAGGGATGCGCCGCCAAGCAACAGCGTTACCCACTCGCACCTGCCAGCGTCTGTCCGCCCCGCGGGTGCCCGCTCAGGCCGGTCTGGCTGCGTCTACCCATGACTTGGCGAGTCTTTTCAAGTGTCCCGTCTGCTCCGACTATGTGTTGCCCCCCATCCTGCAGTGTCACAGTGGCCATCTTGTCTGCGGCAACTGTCGCCCCAAGCTCACCTGTTGCCCCACTTGCCGGGGCCCGTTGGCATCCATTCGCAACTTGGCGATGGAGAAGGTGGCCAATACCGTGCGTTTCCCTTGCAAATACGCCTCTTCAGGGTGTGAAATAACGCTGCCCCACAAAGAGAAAGCGGCCCACGAGGAGAACTGTGAGTTCAGGCCTTACTCCTGCCCGTGTCCGGGGGCTGCCTGCAAATGGCAAGGCTCCCTGGCTGCCATCCTGCCCCACCTGTTGCATCAGCACAAGTCCATCACGACCCTCCAGGGCGAGGACATCGTTTTCCTGGCCACAGCCATCGACCTCCCCGGGGCTGTGGACTGGGTGATGATGCAGTCCTGTTTCGGCTCGCACTTCATGTTAGTCTTGGAGAAGCAGGAAAAGTACAACGGGCACCAGCAGTTCTTTGCCATTGTGCAGCTGATAGGAACTCGCAAGCAAGCGGATAATTTTGCTTATCGGCTGGAGCTCAATGGTCACGGGCGGCGATTGACTTGGGAAGCGACGCCTCGATCGGTTCACGAGGGAATTGCCACGGCCATCATGAATAACGACTGCCTGGTCTTTGATACCAGCATTGCACAGCTCTTTGCAGAAAACGGCAATTTAGGCATCAATGTCACTATTTCCAAGTCTTGAAATGGCCATCAGACATTTCCCGGTCCATGTTTAAAAAAAAAAAACAAGCAAAAACTCTTGCGTTCAGTTTCACAGGTGCCCATCATCACCCTGCCAACCTGTAATGTTTTGTAGGTAGATGCGAGTCATGCAGGTAAAGAAAAGGCCTTTAACTATAAGAAATTTGCATGTAGTAACACTAATATATTTGAAAATAAGTCAACATTAAACCACTGGAAAAAATATACACCCAGGATGGGCATCTTTTGTTTTTAGAAATGAAGCACTGTAAAAATAATTCTGAATTTGCGTTTGTTGTAGATTGAGTGTAATGTGCAAAGATACTGGAGTGTTTTTCTTGCTTTTGCGAGTGTGTATGTGTGTGTGCAGGTGTAAGGTGTGTGTGTGTGTGTGTGTGTGCACACTTCCCACTGTGACACAATACATAGTGCTGTGCGTACTTTGCTATTTTTAATCGAGTTTTTAATTAAATAAAATGACTTTTCTGTAATTCAGGTTTTTCTTTACTTTTTTGTACTTTTTAAAACTGTCTTTTTGATAAGCATAATTGTGGCAAAGTTTTTAGATGTTTTTGTATTTTTCCCCTCCATTAGTCAGTTCATTAGAAATATTTTAAAATTATTATTTTGTCAAGAAATGTGTTTCATAAAGAAAAGGTAACATGGGAAGAATTATCAGACACTGAAAGTGACTAAAAGATGGTCTTTGATTTTTTTTTCCCGTCCAGTTGAGATATATTTTCAAACATATTTTTTGAAAGGTTAGGAAATACTAATTTAAAAAAAGGTATTCCAGCCCTCATTTACATGGGTAAATCACATGTTTGAAATTTGTTCTTGTATTTATTGGTTTCTCCAAAGAAGGCATTGTCTTAAAAAGTACTTATAACTAAAAGTAAATCATTTGCTTATTTAAAAAAACAGTTTGCAAAAATATGTTTTAGTCTATTAGAATTCTCATTAAAAGAATACCTGGCAAATGAAAAACAAAATTTCATATGGATAGTTAGTATCTTTATAATATTGACATGTGGAGAATAATTAAAATCCATAAAAAAAGAAAAAAATGGTTAAAACTGACCCACATTGTGGTATTCTTCACAATTGAACAAAAAAAAAAAACCAATGAGATATTCTCTTTAGGAAATATTGGCAGGGATTATTTGCAAATGTGAAAAACATTTCATAGTATTTGTAGTATGCTACCATTTGGTTAAAAATAAAAATGAAGTCAGAGCAATAGTACAGTATTGAGAGTTGTCTTGAACTGTGTCTGGGTTCAATTCATGGCACTACATATGATCCCACAAGCCTATCTGGGAGTGATCCCTGAAGACAGAGTCAGGAGTAAGCCCTGGACTCCCCCAGGTTTGGCTCCAAAACCAATAAATAAAAAGAATGAAAAAAAAATACATGCTTTCATCCACTTTCTTGTGCTTAAGCAGAGTTGAGAAAGATTGAGCAAGAAAAGGAGTGAGGTAAATATTTTAATCACTGCACTTTAGCAAGTAAAATTTCCTATTAAAATAGACCTAAATTAATAATGAAAAGGAGATATTTATGAACACCATCCCTGTTGGCCTCTACCCTGAAAAGCACAAAAGTAGGAGTCATGGAGCAGTTATTATTAAAGAATGTTATGAAAGAAAAGTCAAGCTTCATTTCAGAGTGATTGATCTAGAATTATAAGTATTCCTCTGTCAGCCCCAACTGGGTCAGTATATTGCGTCCATCGACTTTTGTTTTCAATTCTAATCATTTACTTGATTGAAGTGCTCCTGGTTTCCTTAGATCATCAGTGCCTTTCAAGAAAAGATGAGTATTGCTCTTGGGAGCTTTTTTTTTTTGGTATAAATTTACTTTTCTCTGTAGCTCTTATGTGTATCTCCTATGTGCCAGAAAGTTCGGAGCAAAAAAATACACAGAAAATAATACAAGTGCTTTTTAGGAGGTCATAATTAGAATGAAGCCTGCAAAGGTGAATGAAAAGGTGAATACGTAGGCTGGTGTGACCTGAATACATATGCTAGTGTGACCTGTCTTCCAAGGAAACAACAAAAAGATTAGAGCACAGAAATGCCAGGAGGAAGGACTATACACAGATAACAGGAAGATTGCATGAAAATGATACCCATCCTGTTGACACCTGGACCTTCAACTTAAGCCTCCAAAATTCTGGGAATATAATCTTCTATTTACCAGTGTTTCTCAATCTTTTTCCTACCATGGACTCCTTTGGGCCTTGTTCGCCTTCTGTGTGCCCATATCTTACCAGATGTTTTTGAGTCTTGTACTGTGGCCCTCTGTTTATATGATTCTTCACCTGTGGTCCGCTGGGAGTACTGTGAGGAGAATTAGGTCATTTGACCCATAGTTGGAGATACCGGGTTAAGCCAGATGACTAATGATCAAGGTATTCAATACTGCCAGGACGGTCTTGCTCTCTAATAGCTGTCTATCATGCAACTCAGTTTAAGTGCTGATGGGAAAATTGACCTTAGGTGGCATCACAGAATAAGGGCCCCAAATCTTAATACTCTGGTAAGGCAGAGAGGTGATATCTGTGAAGAATCATAGGTAACTCAGTACTTCTGTGATTTTTTTACCGTGTTGCTTCTAACAACTTTTAAAGGAGTGGTGCATGAGGGATAAGAGTACATAAAGCCTTCACAGAGTCACATGTATGTATCTTGAACATACAAGGGAGGTAGCAATGGTGAGGTGGGGTGGGGTTTTTTTTGGTCCTATTGTCCTTTCATATCTTAAACGTATCAGGGAGTTACCTGAATCTCATTTTTCTATTCTGAAGATTTGGGGTCCACTCTATAAATGTAGGATGAACATTTAGACTTAGAGATAAAGCAACAATGCAGAAAGGTGGTGCCCAGAAGTCTCCTCATGTCCTTTTCATTCACTAACTCTGGATAACTCCTCTACTAACTTCTGAGAGCATAGACTAGTTCCATCTCATTTTGATCTTTCTTATAAATGGAATCATGCAGGGCACATATTCTTTTATATCTGCCTCTTTTTGTGTCCTCTTATAAGATTGATCTTGGCTAGAGCTGAGTGATATCAGTCTCTTGGCTTCAGAGAATTTGAAGGCACATCTGCCTTCATTTATACAACCTGTTGTTTAGCATATGAGCAGTTTGTAGCTCATCGAAATAATCCTGCTGTGATCACTCTTATAAATATTTAATAATGAACATATGTACCTAGGAGTGGAATCACTTTATCATAAGGTATGTACATATTCAGCTTCAATAGGTACTGCCAAACAAAACAAAATGGTAAAATACTGGAAGATTTCCCCTGACTTTGAGAAACACTTTTATTCCGTATTTTACTGGAGATTCCAGGCAGTATAAAACAATATAAATTGGTGTGAAGATTATACAGTAAACTATCATTTCTCACAGAAAATATAATTATAAAATCCAAATGAATTATCAAGCTCTTATATTTTAGTGAATTTCACAAGATCACTGATATCAAGTCAATAAATATATCAAAAGTACGATGACCAAAATAGACTTTCAAAACTTTCAAAATTATTAGAATGTTGGGTTCAATTCTTCCTCCCCTATCAGAGAGTCTGGCAAGCTACCAAAAGTATTTCACCCGCATGGCAAAGATTGGCAAGCTACCTGTGACATATTCGATATGCCAAAAACAGTAACAATAAATCTGTTACTCTGTTGTGAGACGTTACTGGTGGCCACTCGATCAAATCGATGAACAATGTGAGGACAGTGCTAGAGTGCTATACCATGTTATTGAGCTCAGAAAATGGAGGACTATTGTAAAGAGACTGATTTACAGATTCCATGCATGAGTTTTATGTGATCTATATCAAAATGATTTTTAATTTTAAGTTTTAATAGAATCCGACATTCAAACATGGAAAATTAGAAATGTAAAAGTCAAAACCTTGATCAAATATTTTATAATTGGTGCTACTATTCACTGCAAACATAGAAAAATGAATTTGAATAGAATTAATACTGATCTTTAAATATAATATTTATATTCTACTATCTTTTTTTCTGTGATCTTAATTTAGCACGAGGCTATGAGAGACAGCAATTGTATCATGCAGATGAGAAAACCAAACTCAAGTGTAAATTTCTTCTAGGTAAAAGTCCAAGACCAAGCACTGTAATTTTTACGTCAAATTTATACTATACAAATACCAAATAGATGAGTGCATTTATTGTTGGATATTTATGATAGTAACCTACTGGAAAATGCAGTAACATGGTAACTTTACGGGAAACCTGGGGCAGTCACATGAATTTGTGCTACAATCAGAAGTGTTCTAGAAAGGCAATCAGACCATTAATACATACACAATCACCTGCTTTTCTTTCCCTTCTGACTTTGAAACATGGGGATCTTTCTTTAGCTGAGTACCACAATTGAGGTGATCAGTTTACATCTTCACTCACATTGTTAAAGACTTATCTCACCAGCTTTCCCACCCATTTAATGAGAAGTCGGTGCTGACAATGTTGGGAAATCAGAACTGGACCGGGCAATAGCAGATCTCACAGCTTCTGTTTCAACCACATTCTGAGGCATAACTTCATAGAATGGACTAGCTGGTGATATTACACATTAAATTTTTAGTTTGGCATTTTTTGTATGCCAGATGTGATTATACTGTGGATGCTGTGTGTTAAGATTTCACTGCATTTGATTATGAAATTTTTCTTTAACCCTTTCTCCTTTGTGATTTTCAGCATCTCAATCTTCATAAATACAACAGATCAAAATTTCTTTGGGTTCACTATTTACAAGGGTAAAAAACATGATTTAAAATAAATATTTAAATATGGTTAGATCACAATGAGGTTATCTCCCCTAAGTTGCAGAAAACTGCTGGTAGTAAGAGAAAATAGCCAATTTTACTTCTGTCGTAAAAACAACAGATTGCTTCATTATTAGTTAAATATTTGTATTTATTTATTTTTTTGCTTTTTGGGTCACACCCAGCAT